GTACAACACAGTTCGTATACCACATAGATAGGTACATGTACTATTGGCTAGTAAATTTTATCGAATGGCAGCAGATTTCATCTTGAAAACGACCCTATGGAAGATGCTATATGAATTAATTTTTCCACACTTATTTCATCTACATAGAACCGAGTCGCTCCCTATACGTCGCGGTGATCGCATAACCGTTCTTCGAACGGAGGACGCTCTAATTTCTAAGGAAAACATAAAGCGATAATATGAACTGTCCTCCACAATTAAACCGGGCGATTAGACAAACAAATAAAGAAAGTCTACTGCCGACTCAAATCGTCAATCTTCAAGGGATAATCGGCTTGCCCGACTACCTCCGAGACCGGTATACTTCCACGCCTATTCGTATTTAAAGTGAAGTGCAGCTGCTGCCCAGGATGCAGCTAGTGAAGATTTTGGCTGATTTGGTTAGTGGATAAATGCAAGCAAATTATCCAAAAATATTCCAGCGGACGCTGCCGATTATTTATTTTCTTGCGTCACTTTACATGTGTCTAGTAAGGACAACGTCGCATTAAGACCATCACAGGCGCGCAAAGGAACAGCCATCTACAGACCGTTTGTTCGCATCAGCAGAGGGAACTGGGACCAAGTGACGCTAAGGTGAAGAAGCTGCCGCACGATGTCCGGGAGTCATCATATGGACTCTGTCGAAGCTCAAGGAAATGCAAAGGTGCCAATGGAGCAGATACAAGATGAGGGAAAAAGCAATTTCCTGTTTTTTGAAATGTGTCTCGCCATTGCTGTAGCTGGTGGACTGCACCAAGCAGATAGCTAGGCATTACATCGCCTTCGCGGTGTTGTCGAAGCGACAACCGTAGACCCCTTTTTAGTTGAAGCGTAAGTTAGGAAACATTTGCTTATAGCGCTGGTCGGGTGTACTGACAGCGACCTGAAGCGTAAAGGCTGCGTAAACGCGACGAAGAAGCATTGACGCTTATTCCGTGTTACAATACAAAGCGTACAATCCGAAAAGAATGGGCATATGATAAAACACAAACGTTGGGTGGAGGGCTTCTTATAAGACGATCGGGGGAACCGGATGCAGTTTTTGTCTGCTATGACATAGGTGGCTCGTATAGCCACAGTAGGACATGCAGCCCGACATGAAAAACCGGCGCGTATGACAAGATAAGGTCAAGTTAAAAGTTGAAGTTAATGCGTGAACGGCAAACGGCAATGTGTGTGATGTTGCAGGTGAGCTCCGGGCACGACCATGACACGCATTCAGTAAATCCGTATCGTTTATGTATAAATTAGCCCGTACATACGCAATAGTTGTAGATGCCCCTCGTTCTATGTTCATAATGAATAATATGGAAACGTGTATCTCACTAAGATGTTAAATTGTCTAGAAATATCAAATATAGCATGAGAAAGTAAAAGCACAAAAAATTAGAAATAACCAGTGTTTTTATTGAGGATAACTAGTCTTGCTCAATTGCGTTAAATGTCATTTGTTGTATTTTTATAGAAAGCAGGTACAATTATTTACAAAAAAAGGCTCAGTAAATAGACCGCGCAGTACATATATGCTATAGAATATGAAAGCGAGTTTTTTTTGTCAGCAGCTGCCGAGTACCCCAATTCACAGTTCGCATGAATGATTTACTGTTTTGTGTTACGCTCAGCACTTTCAGCTCATGTGTGAAAAAACTTTAAGTTTCTCTATCAAACACAGCTTCTCTCACTTAGCCAGACGCATACACACATACAAATGCATGTGTTATGCTTGTTTCACGCAAAACAGTAATGCTTATAACGATCTTGCTGGTGGTCATATCATGAGAAAGCGTTTATTTCATCACCTTTTGGTGGCAGAATTTCAGGCCAAGCTCGAGCCTTGTATAAGAACAATTGTCGGTCGTTGCCACAGTGGCCGCCGGTGCCTTCCACAAGGAAGCTATGAAGCCTGTGAGTTCCTCTTTTATGCAAGAAGAGGCTGATCGCCGCCGTTGGATCGGTTCTCTCGCTAGCGGGAAGCTATTGTGTTCTAGGCCCTTATCTCACGGAACGGCCCTCTGGCCTCCCTTGCTTTGGTCCTGCGCGACTAACTCTCTCGTCGACCGGCCGACGGTCCCCGGGTAGGCCCGGGGTCATATGGCCCTTGTAAAACGAATATGCGTCCGATGTGCTCGTCTCAACGGAGCGCTGTCCGCTATTCTGCGGCGTCTATTTTGCGTTAGCAAGAGGGCAGGACCTGGAAGGATGACACAAGCCTAGCCTACAGAGAGACGGGGGGGGGGGATAAACGGACGAATGGGGTATCCAGTGAATAGCGGTCATGATGGTAGGTTAGAGGTTGTTTCTGTCGCCAGATCAGCCTTTGCTCTTCCAGCGTTGTTTCTCCGAGGCTCAAGCCGTATCTTGGGAAAAATGGCCCAGCCTCTTGCGGTTGATTGGGGAGCTTGCCCTCTCCATAGTAGTCAGCAGCCGTGTGAATATCCAGGACTCACAGAAAGAAAGAAGGGTCCAGTTACTTTATGGGCGTACAAGCCGGTACACTTGTTTGTGCCCCACATCGACATTTACACACATGTATATATATATATATATATATATATATATATATATATATATATATATATATATATATATATATATGCATATAAAGTGTGAGGGCATTACCCAAACGTAACACTCCATGTGTCATGTGATGAAGCGCTCGATATACATTAGCGAATGTAAATGATGGGATACTAATTTTGGAGTAAGTGCAACAATTAAATGTAAGCTTATTTTTACCGAAGTATGTCTCAGAAATGATTGTCAACGACCTAAATACATCGTTTTGAAGTTCCTAAACGAGTGACTCCTTTACTCTCCACTAGGAAACAGCAAGGATGATTTTAGAGGTTGTATTGTATGACAACTGTTTGAAATGGGGAACAAAAGTGCACCCCTTGAAATAATCCAATGATCATAGAAGACGAACACTTACGAGGTCTTGTAGAGAGGATATCAATACATCTATACTGTATATATTGAAATATGTCTGTGTGCTGGGATTTCGATCGTCGAGCAAAACGCTTAACACCGTACCTACTCGTAGGCCACGTCGTCTTTGAGAAATGCCAATGCCTACGAATTCGTCGCTGCTAGGGTTCAATAGTGTGTCAAATGTTCGACCAGTCCGTGGATATCCTTATGGCGGAAGCGTTCACATAAGGATGACCAGTCGCTGCTTATTCGCTATTAATCTATACTTATAGATCGATCCTGGTCGCGTCGACCAGGATCGATGTCTTGATATCGACCGCATCGTTGACGTCGCTGATATTTTCGCATCTTCTCGTCGTTGTTCCTCTCTGCTGCTGCTGCTGTAAGTCCGCAACACGTTCCAACCGCGCTTTCGACAAGCTGTACAGCGACGCTACAACGATCGACATGCTTATCGATTACTCACTCACTTAGTAGTACGATCAACAGATGTACTGACGGAGGCGCACCCCTAGACATGTAGAATAATAGAGTAACGGACGGCGAGAGCACGATTCATCTCGTGTCTGTTATTCCCCTTTGAGGAATCTAGCGACATCGCCTGCATAGGCGTAAACGGGCGAAGGTTTTTCTACAAGCTACGATGGCGGCCAACGAACACAGCATATGTCGTCCCTGTCGACTCTACTGACGACAGCCAGTTAGCTACCTCGGCTAACTGCGGACGGCGGCGGCGGCAGCAACACTGTCGCCCGGATGAACTACGACCAAGTCTGGATAGTCAAGGTAACCGACCGGCTAGTACATATTATATAGTGCATGCATAGTTATTCTATAATGGTGGTACTAGTTAGCGCTGCTGCTGGAGATGGCCGTCATCGCAGAATGATGCCTTGGCGATCCCCGATGTTTCTGCTGCTGTCGCGGATACAGCTTCCAACAGCCTGTGGTTTCTCGCTCGTTATTTACTAGTCGGCAGACTTTGTCGATCTCCTATTGTCACCCTTATGATCCGGAGGGCCATATGAAATGCAACGCCGGCACCAGGAGCAAAGAGCAGAAAAAGGCCTTGTTCCTAGTTGCAGCAGCCGCTTTACACATACCACTTCTGTTAGTGTTACTGCTGTTGCTGTGGCCTGCCGTCGCCATCGTTGTTGCTCCAGTCGTTGTTGTCATCGCCGACGGCAGGGACTCCACCACTTTTCTACTCTGCCACTCTGTACTCTACCTTTTTTTTTTCGTCTATGTATGAGTCTTTTCGTTCGCTACCACTACTGTTACTGGCCGTTGGCCAGTCGTGGTGGCCTGGCGGCAGTCCTCACTCGGTCCTGGCGACGGCGGCGGCGGCGGCGGCGGAAGCGGCGGCAGCACCGGCGGAAGCGGCGGCGGCGGCGGCGAGCGACATGGCTGCTTCTCTAGGTCCTTCCTTCCTCCTTGTTTCTTTTACAGTTGTTCCTTACTCTTAGCACTGAGCTTGGCAGGCAGGCAGGCGGGCTGGCTGGTTCTTGGCTTCTTAGGGCGAGTACGGTGGGCCTTTCGCGACGACAACAGCGGCGGCACCGGCGACGGTGTCTTCGTCGTCGTTTGGGCAAAGAAGGGCCTGCACCGTTACTTCTTTGTGGGCCCGCCCGAACCTTACCCCCACCTCCCCCTCGCCCTATCCGAAAACACAAGCAGCCTCCGGGTCGGATTGTCCCGGATCACTCGGTGTGCTGCAGGCCAGCCTAGTCCAGTGTGTAGGGCAGGGTGGTGTAGGCGGGTGGGGATCCACTCGCGCCCTCTCCCGATTAGCACCAGGCGCCACCCTCGAGCCTAAGACCGCCCACCGCGCCGAGTGCACTTGACGGGGCGGGGCTTTTTTGCTCTCCGACCAATCGCCACAGCGCTCAGCGTTTGTCATACCTGTTTGGCTCTTTTTCATCTCTCCAGCTCAAGAGGCTTTTTGACTTTTCGAGTACGTCGCTCAAAGTATCGTCGTTCGTCGCCGTACAAGCAACGGAGGACTCGTTTGGCTAAGTACTCGGCGCGGTGCTTGATAGAGGCAGAGCGCCCAGCTATCGACACAGTGCGTGTGCCCAAGATACAATAGTGTACCACGCATTACTAAGATACGCCTCAGAGTACATTGCCGATGCCATAATTGTTCAACTAGTGCTCAAGCACCATCCGAACGAAGTGAAGTCGAAGGAGAAGTGAAGTTTTATTCTTTCAGGGTAACCAATTGAGCAGGAAAACAGTAATCAAATTTTAATAACAGACTAATATCGTTAACTAGCAGTTGTGTTTTCAGCCTGTGCGGTGTGTTGAAACCACTTTACGCGGTGCTCTAATTTTACATGGTGGTAACGCAGGGTACAACAATATCATTTACCACCTTACAGTAACAGGTTTTGTACAGGAACGGCTGCAGTCCAAGTGGTTCAAGCAAGCATCGTCAACGCCGGCTTCAGCTATAAAAATGTCGTGAACTGAATACGCTGGAAGCCCTCGGAGTTGATTTCGAAATTATTCAGTGTTTGTGTAACTCACACAACGGCAGCGGTTCCACAAGACAAGGATAAGCCGTTGAAGCGAACAGCGACGATTCACGACGAAAAGCAGTCGCGAATTTCCGTTCGGTAAAATACAGAATGCTTCCTATCTCACTTCAAAATATTGCGTACGTTTCGGCACTTCGCCGTGCCCTTATCCAAGCCGCATGGACGGAACAACAGCGTCTACTAGCTATGGCGATGGCCAATCCTGAACGAGGCAATCTAGCTGACGAGGATAAGATGGAGTCGACGGACGATAAACCGAAAAAGTCGAGCTTCTCAGTGAAGGACATTCTCGACCTGCCGACGGAAGCCGCTCAGAAAAAAGAGGACAGCTTGGTAGAGGCGGCTGAGGACGAGGAAAGAGATGTTGTCGATGTGGAAGAACAGGTAACTAAACAAGTGGTGGTGGTGGACAAAGAGCGAAGTCCCATCAGTGGCCACACGTCTCCTGCGCCCCCAGATAGCCAAGATCAACAGGACACGTCACCTAGCAACAGGACACCGCAGCCAACATTCAATGGGATGCCTGCAGAATTTTCGCACCCGCTTGAACTGCGAAGGTTTGGTGAGTCCTTTAACAACACCATACAGAAGTAGGAGTGAAAAACGCTGTGCATTAAGGATCTATTGTATGCGAACATGCACAGTTTTGTTTTCGTTTGCCACTATTCTACAAGCGCAGAGTAGCCGCGTATTGCGGTACCATTTATTTAAGGATGTTCTTTCTTTCCAGGAGCGCGATGTCATACTGCATGATATAGCCGCATACTGCTAGCAGCTTTCTATACTGTTTATGTGAGATGATTTCCTTCTGGTCACATACGTAACCAAGTCCGCCGACTTTTCAGTTTTATATATATATATATATATGCAATTGTAAGTGCGTTTCATTTACTCGAGTAAATTCGTGTTTTGAGCACGAGCCTTTTTTTGCGAACGTTCAATTTACAGTCGCTCAATTCCCGATTAGACAAAAAAATATTGTCAATGTTATTTTTAGTATGATTTTTCCACGAAAACGAGATAAACCTATAAGAATAGCTGCTGCGTCCGGCTTATTCTCTATAAGCGGTCCAAACAAGCAAACACAGTCGTCCTTTCTCGGTGTAATCTTCTACTTATATTTTTTCGTGCTAGTTCACCCGGTACTTATTTCCCGGGAGAACGGAGCGTCAACGAGTAATATTTTCTCTTCTCTTACCACCGACGCGACCTTCTCTAAGTTTGCTCAGAGTCTCGTTGTCGTTGTTGTCGTCGTCGTCGTCACCTGCGGAGAAAAGCCATTATGAAGTGGGCTGAACTGAGTTGAGCCCGGCGGGGGGCCAGTCTCAATTCTGCTTTATTAAGTCCCACCGGTTCTACCGCTTCACCTAGAACCGACGACGACCACCGACTGCGGATTGCGGACTGGTAAGCGGATAGCCAGCCAGCCAGCCAGCCAGGCAAACAAACGGGAAAGCGGCCAACGAGCGACCAAGCGGCTTCGTTGCGGCACAGCTATTGTTGTACGCTTGTCGGCCACTAATCAACAACGCGCAGGGGCTAGCGGAATAGGCTGGGAGAAGCTTGCCGGAGACAGGGGCACACAGACTGGCTAGATGGACACCCTGAGTGAAATTCTCCCGGCAGGAGTTTATCGCAGCGCCGCCGCCACCTCCTGATCCTAATCCCGACCTGATTGAGTCAATCGCTGGCGTCGTTCAAGTCGACTATGAGTTGCTATGGCTGACGCCAGCGCCGAACGGCTGAGCCTGATTCAATCTCGTTTGCTGTTTGACTCGTTGCCTTCAACAAGGGGAAGAGACGAAAAAAATACAGAGGGCTGATGGTGTGAGCAAATGGAGAGGGATAGAAAAACAATCCGATGAGACAATTGCGCGCGGAGCGCCAATAAATAGTGGCTGCGGCCGAAACCAAAGATAGCCTCGACGAAATATATCGTCATAGAAGAAGAAAATCTGTATTTCCCGTTCAGTGGGGGCTGAGGATGTTATTGGTCTTTGGAGACAACAATGCCAACGCTCAATAAGTCACACCCGACTGCTACAGGAGCTACACAATCGAAACCTTCGTATGGGGATGCTTATGTGTCTGTGTATTTGAGTTCCCGCGTGAATGTGTTGGTAGGTAACAGCAAGATTTGCAGTGACTATATTCTCGAGGAAATTGCAAATATACTGTTACATCTTCGGCTGATTCGTATAACCCTGCCGATGTTCGTAATGTTTTGGCTGATAACGAGATCGTTGAGACCTAATCTAACGTACCCAGCATTTGCACATTTCTTGCCGTGTTGTTCAGTCTACTGTTAGTACGATGACAAATATAAATCGTGCCACCGTGCTCTTGATTGGACGTTTTCCCTCGTATAAATGTCGGTGTGCTAGTTATTTTTGACCCATTAATTGTCTTACTGGGTGTATGGCCTATATAACGATCAATGTTTGCTTCTAGATTGGCCAAGTTTGCTGCTAACTGATTGCTTGTATTTAGTTGGGGCTATCCCAAGGAGAGGGCGCAGTGACGAATTTAGGACAAGTAGTAATAGATTGCTGCCATCCACTTTTGTATACCGTTATAGCCGAGTTGAAGCTGCACTCTCCCATGGTGCCATTGAAAATTCCGATAAACTTCAGGATTATCAATATGAAATGTGCGATAACTGGCGACCCATTGCTGAGACAGTGACCTTTCACAAAGTACATTGGCGACGTGCGCGTTGAGCCATGAAACCTCACCGTAGCACGCTAGACCTGCGTCGTCCTAAAAGACTGGGCTAGCGGCCACGTACGGTCCTTAGTGTAGTTATTTTTTCCCCTCTCCCTGCCTTTTCCGCTGGGCGTTATGTTAGTTTTCTCGTCTATTTTTGTCTCCTCATAGGCGTTGCTGTAGACCTGTGCTCTTACGGCGACATCCGCTTGCTGTGAACTGGGGAGTTCAAGCATGGAACAATGGCAGTCATCGATCGCCTTAGCGATCGAGACCACAGTAGCCCGAACGTGTCTGCGATCTCCTGCTTTACCTGAGCTGAGGTAATATACCTTCTAATAGACGGGTGCCAATATAATAGTCGATAGTTCACACGACACGGGAACATACATACGTGTGATATGTGTTCGGATGCCGTGAGACGCGTCTCGGTCCACATAGGCTAAATGGATTCAGTTTAATAAGCGCGAACTCGAGCGACGGCAACACATGTACGATGTTAAATAATGCTTTCGATGAGTTCGGCGTGCCTATTAGAGGAACTAGGGATAATGGCTGCGTGACTTGTTGCTGGTCGAACTGCGAAGGGCATAACCGCTCAGAGAGGGGTGTCGATTATTGTAAACACGAGTCGGAGGCAAAGAGGGGGCACGAGCGAATCTTCTTTGACGCGATCACTCGAAGTCACACAACAGTCGAAGAGTCCATTATGCAATTTGTCAACTAATCCAAGTTGACGAACCTGTTAAATCGTCTCATAAAAGACTCCCTAAAATCAATATAAAGATTGCTTGAGACCTGATACGCTAGCAGCTCTCGTCACACAATTTAACTCTCTGTTTTAATTTTAGTTGAGATCAATATAAAACATTACACCTGCTAGATCTAAATAGCTTACACTGGTCAACAATATAAACATAGCGAACGTTTCATTGTCAACTGGGGTCTGCTCGGCTAACTGGTTTCGTTGAGATTGATTCCTCTATTCAACATCCAGCTATGTCCAGCCATCACTTTCAAATGTGAACTTCATTTCGAGCATGTCAACCCTTAAATGAAGTTCTTTGTTCCCACAGAACAGTTTGTTCATTCTTTGATTCTATTTCTAACTGTACACCCGCCATTGCAGCCCAAGTTACAGCCTTCAGCTGACAGGGATCGAATGTCGTTTAGAGTGGCTGCTTTCCAATCCCTATGGCCGAGAAGAAGGCAGTCCTTTCAAACAAATCTGCACATATATATCAAGATGACGCGATTGCTCTGGTCATTGCTTTATTCATTTATAGATTCAGGAGCTGTTGTATATGGGTGTTATTATTGGTTGGTGCGATACGGCGGTATCAGTTTACATAGCGGGAGCCCGTTCGCGCAAGAAGTGTCTACATGCGTCCGTGCACGTGCGTATTGCTACGCCTGGGTATGTATCGCCTCATATGGCGACATTTAGCCGTCTATCGAAACTCGACAACCAGGTAGAATTCGCGATTCGGGACCAGCTTAAATAAATATGTCTGTAAGCGGTGGGCTGAAGCTGGGCTAATCAGTTCCTAACCGCCAATGTGAAGCACAGGAGGAGTCCGTTGTCCAGTCTCCTTTATCGCTCCTTAGCAGTGGTAGTCTGTTGTAATAGTAGCAGCAGCCGTAGTAGTTGTTCGAAATATGCGTAATCTGAGTTGAGAAGGAAGGCTCGATCGAGAGGAGATGGTTGCTGGCTAGGTCGCGCAAATGACGACTGACGACTCGAGTAGGTGGAAAGTTGAATGCTCGGACGCTCTCGTTTTGTTCGGCCGACCCAACGCGCGTGGCTACGCCACGTTAGCCGAGTAGCCACTGCTAGGGAAAGTTAAGTCCCCTCGTAACGCCGTGGCGACGACGAAGACCACAACGAAGACGACGATGATGACCAAGCGTCATTGTCGTCTTCGTTGTCCGTTCTCGTTTTTCTCTCGTTCCGCGTGTCCGCTGGGACTAACGCCTGTGGCTGCCGCCCCTTACTGCTCAAATTAGAGCCAAGCAACTCTATGCAGACAGTTCGTCCCAGTCGCCCACCGGAAGTCCTCTGGGTGGGGACACTTCCGCCCGCCGTCGAGAAGGGCGCTGGTTTTGGTGCGATTTCAGGATCTCAGGCCTGGTACGCTGCGGTGACTCGGCGCTAGCGTTGCGGCTAAATACAGCTTCGTGTCACTCCCTGTTATACTACGCCTCTATGTATGTGTCCGCGACCAAACTTTTAAGGTAGCTTACTAGGTTCTCCCGCAGTTCTCCTTGTGTATATTGGCTGCCTGTAGATAACGACTCAACATGCAGAATAACGTAGGCAAGCAGATCGAGAAATTAAAAGCTCATTCGCTGTTCTGGTCGGCTTATTCGTAAGTGGATAGGATTCAGAGCTGAATGAACAGTGTGGTCGCAGCGATGTCCGAAATGGCGATCAGAAGAAGGAATTGACCACACATCCCGTTGGTTACGCCGTGTTCAGAGGAGCACGCAAAAGTACTGCAAGGATAGAATGGTTTATCTTGCTTACTAGCTAATAGAGCGTTTACGAAAAGTCGCGCGCGTCACACCTATAACGTGCATGTTGCAGTGTGACACATCAACCGTGAATCAAGCGGGTTTCCTCCCTCTGCTTTGATACATATATATATATATATATATATGGTTGCCTCGTCTCTCGACTCGGAGAACAGTTTCAATAGTGTTTTCAAAAATGCCCTTTCCTCTTTCTCGCCTCAGCGTCGGTCATCTCTGTCTGTGTTAGCTCGCCCTTGGGTGTTGCTTAAGTTCAGCTGCCCAATCGGCTAACTGCTTCCGGTTCTGCTGTGGACTGCGGATGGATGAATAACTAAATGAACG